CCACTTTCTCAGATACTCCTTCCTCAGAGACTCAGCAAAACAATGGATTCTCCTGGAGGAGCAATCCTCCTGGAAAGGCAGAGAATGGAGAGGTTACAAATAATTAAAAATTAATATCCCTCCTTGTCCCTGCGCACACATACATAGGAGGAGAAGAAGAAGAGGGCTCCATAGCTGTGGTTGTGGAAGAGACCAGAGGATTTGGAGGCCGGTGTGGGTCTGATCCTGGTATGGCTGCCCACTCATATGTGGTGATGGATGTGGAATGGGGCTGAGGACGGTCCTGCTGGTGACAGTGCCAGCATCCTGTGGTAGCCTCACTGTCCTGGGCACTTCCTTACAGAGCTCCTCTTGAGAATTGTGTGAAAGGTAAAAATATAGAGCCCTGACATCCCTGCCCCACACAATGCTCCTCGTTTTGTTTTCCCTGGCACAGCAACAGAGCAAAAACAAACCAAAAAAAAAAAAAAAACCAAGAGAGGTAGACATCTGGGCAAATTCTGGAAGCAGAGGTGGAAAGCAGCCTGGTTTCCTCAAAATCGAACCCGGGGTTTGGATGGCCGTACAGGTGTTCCCTGGCTCCGCACACACACCTTGCGGGGTGAGTAGTCATGCACAGAAACCTCTGACTCCCGTTGTTGGGAAGCTGATGAGTAACATGTGATGTTAATGAGCACGTGAATTGGCTCATGTTAATAACACCAACCAGCTCTGAGTGAGGATTGACCATGTGCCAGATATTTGGCTGGGTACTTTTTTTTTAGCTGAGCCATCCTCCACCTGTTAGCGCAGCGGCAGCTCAGCTCCTGCTGGGAATTGAACTGGCGACCCTGTTGCTCAGAACTCGCACTCTTGAGTGGGTGCAACCCACTGAGCCACTCATCCGGCCCTCCGGCTGGGTACTTTTCATTTGTCGCGCACCCTTTGGGGGAATGTATCTTTATGTATTATCTTACACATTGTATAGTATCATCATCATTCCGTTTTACAGATGAACAGGCTCAGAGAGGGAAGGGTGACAGGGCCAGGGTTTAGCCCAAGCATTCTGACTCAAGGCTCAGTGCTGGCTGGGGGTGGCTGGAATATGGAGATGGACAGGAGCTGGTTCTCCTGGGGAGTGACAGCCCAGTGCGGAGGAAGGGCCTCTGTTTGGTCATTCATTCATTCATTCATTCATTGGATGCCTTCTGTGTGTCAGGTTTTGGGCGGTTATCTGATGGCTTAAGGCCCAACAGTTAAAAGTACTTTCTCTCTGCTAGACCCTTGCCTTCAAATGGCTTTAAAATGTAATATAGTTTTAAACTATTCGGCCGCTCTACTGGAGGAGACAAATTGCTTACACTGCAGTGTGCTATCTATACAGAGACCTAGTAGAAAAAAACCACGTTCTTAAACCCTGGGCGGCCCACAGCGCATGTGTAGAAGAGGTGAGGGACGGTGGAGCAGAGTGCAGTGGGCGCCTCCGGGTGGAGGAGCGGGCGCTGAGAGGCGGTCGGGTGGGTGAGTGGGAGGCACCCGGGCCTTGTTTGCCCCGGAGGGCGGAGTAGGCTGTCCCTGTCGCCGGGGCGGGCAGGGAACTCTGCAAAACTCCCATTGGCCAATCACGGGGAAGGGCCGGGTGACCTCACGTTGGCCTGGACTCTGAGGTCACTAAACCTGGTCCATTTGCCACTGTGGTCGCGCTGCCTCCAAAGTCCGTGAGGTGGGTGGAAAGGTTCTGTCTGTGACTTGAGGGGTGAGATGCTGGGGGTGGCTGTCTCGGTCTCTGAGGCCCTGTGGGATAGAGAGAAGTTGGGTGAGGCGGGAGTAAACAAGTTAGTGAGCAGCCGGCAAGCAGCTGCCGCCTCCTGGCACCGCGGCTGGGCGCGGACGGCCCCAGCTGACTGGGGCGCAGCGCTCCTGGCAGATAACACCGATCGGGCTCCCTGCAGCTGAGCCCCCTCCTCTAGGTATCGTGTGAACCTCCCCTGCCCCCTTCAAGGGGTTCATCAGTTCACTGCCAAGTGCTGGGCAAGGAGGGGGCAGGCGACGGACTACAACGGTGGGAGGTGGTTGTTCCCGGAGTGGTCGGAGACGAACCGCTCACGGTCCCCTAGCCAGAAGCCACCGTCCCCTGGGGTCTTGGGGACGCTACTTCCTATTAACGACATAATGAATCCCTGCTCCCCCGCCTCAGGCATTTTCGAAGCTGATAAAGCGAACTCCGCCTGAAATTAAGGGTCTACAGCAGAAAAGAAGATGCGCGCGCCCATTGTAAGTGCGGGGCAGGGGTGGTGGGCGCAGGGGTGGGGGTGGCGGCGTGCTTTAGTGGTGACTCGGAGCCGGAGTTACCACTTCAGAGAGAGGATCCTTGACGATGTGGGGCCACGCCTCCAGCAGCCCTAGGCATCAGGTGTCAGAGTGGTTCAGCGGGCACCTGCTGGAGCTGTCTTAGTCCTTGAACTTGCTGTGGTCTGGTTTGGAGTCCACCCTGCCTGAAGCTGGCCTGGGGTGAGGGGGAAGGCAGAACCCACAGGAGGAGGGAGGCAGCAAGGGGACCTTGCTGCGTAAGGGTCCTGTGCTACCTTCCTGAGTTAGACTGGAACACCTGGACTGGCTCCTGGGCTGAGTGGTGGGGGCTGGACCTGCTGTCACAGGCAGGCACTGGCCTGGGTCTGACCACAGGGACCTTTTCTGGTCTCAGCTGATGCACCTCATGACCGGCCCTGCTAGCAATTTCCCAGCTTTCACTTTTCCTTTTTTCTAACTTGTGATGTAGTTCAGAAATCACAAAGGGGACTAGCTAATGTTCCCTTTCAACCTAGCAGTTCTGGCTGCAGAGACGTTCCGAGTGCCAGCTTTTGAGGTAGACCCACCCGGGATCGTGTTCCCCCTGAGCACAGAGCTGTGACACTTTGATCAAGTTTCAAATCCACTCTGTTCCCCAGAATGAAGATTATATAACTTAGTGCTTATGAAATGCTCAGAACAGTGCTTTGCACACATATGAAGTGCTCCACTGTAATTCACTATTATTATTATTTCAATCCACATAAAGAGTTTCCCAGGTGCCTGGCTTTAGGGTATACCTGGCATGTTTGATATTTGGAGTGTTCATTTTTAAATATCCCTCCCTTTTATCTGATAACACTATTTTCAGTAATAATAAATGAATAATAATATCCAGAAAGGAAACAGTGAAAAATTTCTTTTATTGAGCTTTGCATATGAAATCATGCCAGTGAAAAAATTTTTTAAAAGGAAAAATAAAGTGAATGTTATAGAGAAAAATAGTTTAGTCACAGTAATGAAAAATATTACAGTTTCTGTTTTGGAACTAACTTCTGAAAAGTCATGACTATCAAAATTGATCTTTGCATATTCGTGTTCAGTATTCAATAGAGCTAGATTTGTCAATCCATCTTTGCTCACAGTTGATTGAAGAACACTTTTTATTAATTTTAATTTCAAAAGCTTCTCTCATATGAAACAACAGATATACAAATAGGAAAAACCTTAAACATTAGGATAAGTTTGTCAGAGGTTCATAAAAATCCCAGTTCATAATAATTCTAGAAATTGCAATACTGCGTGCGTGCGTGCGCACACACACCACGTATATTTGTTTTTAAAAATAAACTCTACTGGCTTTTAAATATTTCCACATTTGAAACATTTTCACGGAAACATCTTCACCAGAAAATTCATCATCAGTTTTTAATCTTTTTTGGCAAAATTCTCCCAAGTTTTTCTTTTGCAAACATCAGAGAAAATGGCTGAATAATGGTGACATTTGTTTAATCCAATGCTTTCGAATGAGAGTCTAGTTCTTGGTGAAAATGATCCAGGCTTTCAGCCACTTCTATTTTAGTTCCTCCTGGCACTGGGAGAGCTGACTCTTTTGTTTTCTGTTTAAACACTGGAAATATAGGCCTGCAGGGTGTGGTGACACAAATCCTGATGGAAGTGAGCTCCAGCCATGCTGAGCCATTCAGAAAATGACTTTTGGAACAGACATACGTAGCTGAGTGTGTGTGTTGGGGCTGACTATCTGACTGGGTGCTCTTGGACAGAATTTCCATGTAGCAGACAAGTTTTTTTAAAGAATAAGAAGGAAAAATGGGCTAATTTGAGGCTCACACATATATTATTAAATCTCAACAAGAACTGCAGAAATAAAACTTAAGCAATAAAATAGCTTTGGGAGAAGTAGGATATTATTGCTGATGTTCTTTAAAATTGTCGGCATGTGGTGATAACAAGGAGACTGACTTTTGGTGTGTCTTATTATTGTTCGAAAATTCTCTACAGACAGCTCATCCCTCTCTGTCTGCACCCAGGGAATATGGCTGCCGCCTCCCCATTCGGGGTGTGCCACTGCCCAACTCTTAGGGGTTGACAGATGTTAGTTGTTAAAGCAACTTCCTGGACCTCCCAGGGAAGCAGAGGCTGCGTGTCCACCATATGGGCCCACGCTTCTCTTAGCCCTTTAGTGCCGCTGTTGGTGTGTCTGTGTTTCTTTCCCGTCTGTGTTCCAAATTTGCTTAGAATGAGTGGGCCAGGAGCCTTTGCCTTCCCTCCTCCACCCACTCAGTCCTTAAATCTGGCTTTTGAACAGCTGCTGCTGGGGAAGTGAAAATCCAAAGTGAAACAGACTCCAGAACAAGAGGAAACTGATGGCTTGCTCTGATCTCTTGCTCTGAGACTCCGTTTCTCGGCTTCTCTTATGACCTCTGTTTGACAGATCTGTTTGACAGATGTTCTGACAGATCTCTGTGGAGCTAGTTGAGCAAGGAGAAGAGGACCCTCTCCAAAAAGCAATGGGGCTTCAGGCCCTGCAGGATTTCCTCCTTGCTCTGGAGGGGCCACAGGCTGGGAGGGGCCACCAACCTCTGCTGAAAACATTGTGCGTCAGGCTGGCTGCTTAGTTTAGCTGGTGGGCGGGGCATGGAAACTGACCACTCCTTCCCATGGACTCTGCTCAGCACTTACAGTCGTTGGATGACAGGGCGGCTGCCGTAGAGGCAGCTGTAAGACTCTGTGCCAGGGTATCTGGGAGGCAGTGAGGAGGTGGAGATGTTGAGCCTATCTTGAGGGATGAGTAGGAGTTTGCCAGTGAACAGCCAAGGGCATTTCAGGCCTCGAGTATAGTGATGTAGAGGCAAAACATGCCAGGGGGTCGTCACTGAACGTTAGTACCTTCGTGTGAATTACTTGGTGTAGTGGAAAAGACCTGCCTTGGGTTCAGGCAGACCTGAAGTGGAATCCTGGTACCACTTCTTGGAGCGCTCTGAGACCTTGGGCAAGTTACTTCCCATCTCTGGGCCATTTCCTGGTTTGCTGTAAAGATTCCAGTTATGTGTGCAAACCCCTGGTGGTGGTTTCCAAGTGAATCAGGGGGCAGTCCTGATTCACGTGGAGTGAGGTTCAACGTGTAGAACAGGCCTGGGACTGGAGGGCAAGAGCCTGGGAGGGTGGATGAGTTTTGCCTCCTGTTTCCAGAATACCCATGACCTTTGGACTGCTGGGGCTGGGCCTGGCGCCTGCTGGATCCACCACTACCCTCTCCCAGCAGCTGACAAGGGAAGAGGTGATGTCAACCCAACCCCTCCTCCACCTTCTCTCTGGGTCTGAGGCTGGGGCATCTGAGCAGTCAGGCCTCCACCTCATTGTTTCTGCACCCACTCAACCCGGGACACGGGGTCTCAACCCTCTTATGCTCTTATAGGCATAAGTGGTTTTACAGATTTGTCCCCAGTTATCTCATTTATTTCTTGCATAGACTCTGCCTGTTGGGTCTTAAAAGCTCTGTTTTACCAGAGCTCAGAGAGGTTAAGTGATTCCTGAAGGTCACACAGCAATATTGCAGAGAGGGGCTCAGTCTCATGTGGACAGCACTGTGCTTCTGAAAAAGCAGCCTCGGACAGAGGAGATTTGTTGGGAGCCGGCTGTACCTCAGTGTCTGACATAGCCAAGCACACTGCTATTGTGACAAATTCTGAAGCTCTGACTGAGAAACAGATACTGCTTTATGTCTTGGAAAATTTAAATTCCCCTTTGGATGCCCCCAGTAGGATAAAGATCTGACACCCCTTATATTGATTGTTTTATTTACTTTAACCAAATAAGTGAGTTTTAGACATATTACGATAATTCTGTTTTACTGTTAGTTTCTTAATAATAGATAAGTTATGCACCTTATAATTTGTTAGGACTCTATTTACCCAGTAGTGCTTGAAACAATTGCTAAGTAGTTATAGTAAACATCCTTTAGGCGCTAAGGCAGAAATTCAGCTTTGGTAAAGATTGAAACATAGTTAGGATAAGTTAGTTATTAGTATAGAACGGATCAGGCTGTATCCTGTAACAAAAACATCATGAGAAGGTAAAACTTTGAGCAAAATAACTTCTCAGAAAAATAGGCCCTGGGAGAGAACATGTAAGAAAAACAACTTCCTAATAGGTAAAAGTTTAACTCTGGAAAAAACAGTCAACTGTCCAGTATAAAAAGGACATGCTGTAAAAAATAAACTGAGACATTAATTCTTGAAAGCGCTCCTGTGTCTCCACGTGTTCTTTTTCCTCGCCAATGCCGTCTCCACCTGAGGGAACCCCTGGACCTGTGGGAGCTGGTCTCCCGCAGAGATTGATGCATAACTCCTCACGGTCTCTTCTCTTCCGAAAGCCTTGGCACAGAAATTCCCATCTCCCTGTTGGGAATTCCTTTCTCATCACCCACCCCGGACTTCCGATTTTTTTTTTTTAATCACAAGCTTCTAGACATTTTCCCCAGAGCGTCAGAAATGAAGGGGATGAGGTTAGGGGTTTCCACACTCACCACAGCATGTGGTTTTTGGGAACGAGGAGAACTTGCTCCCAGGCTGGATTTCACAACCTCCACAAGTGTCTCTAGCTAGTCTCAGGGCTGTCTGCGACCTTTCCAAACCAAAAATAATAAAAATACTCCCAAGATGAGTGGCAGCAAAAACTGCCACTTACAGAAGGTGTCCTATGTGCTGGGTGGTGTTTGCTGAGTGTTTCACAGGTGTTAACTTATTTGATCCTTAGGATAACCCCATGAATCAGGTGCTATAATTATCCCCATTTGACAGCTGAGGAAACTGAGGCTGAGAGAAGTTGGGTAACTTGCCCAAGGCTACCCAGTTAGTAAGTAGCAGAGCCTGGATGTGAACCCAGGCTGTCTGGCTCCAGAGCCCTAAGGCTGTAATTAGTTTGCTGTTTCTGAAAACAAAATCTATCTTGACTTAACTACA